TGTGTGTGTGTGTGTTTTACCAGTGATTAAACCTAGGGCAGTGAAGGGAGAACCTTTTAGATCCTGTGTGTCTAAACTGCAACTCAAAACCCACTTATTTATCACAAAGTGTCAATGCTGTAATTAAACCTGAATACTGAGGTTTTTTTTTCAGGACCGGGGATTGAACTCAGGCCTTTAGTGCTTGCCAGGGAAGCACTTATCCTACTGAGCCATGTCCCCGGCCCCAATACTGAGGTTTTAAGGCAGAAAAAAACCAACTGTTATTTGATGTTGGGGTGACTTGGCTTGTGTGCTGACAGAGAGGGTTCTGCTGTGGCATGTATGCCATAGGTTTGCCATCACTGACCTAGTGCCTTCACACTAAGCTACATTACTGTCCCTTTTAAAAAAATTTAGTAAGAGTCTCTATCAGTTTCCCAGGCAGGACTAGAACTTATACTTTTTCTACCCCAGCCTCCCAGAGTACTGTAATGCGCATCATTGTGCCTGGCTCACTTTGTTTAAATTTCTTATTTCACCTAAATAAAATTGCTGAATATAGCATTATAGTTTCATTCATTCCATCTTAGAATTTTAATGTATTCATTGCTTTCAGTAAATGATTCCTATGCTCTTCCTTTCACTTAGAACATTTGCACCAGTGTGGGATGTGTTCAAAACGTCAACAGAGAAATTAGCAAATTGTCACTTGGATCTTGTTAGAAAATTACAGGAATTAATAAAGGAAGTTCAGAAGTATGGAGAAGAGCAAGTAAAATCTCATAAAAAGGTATTTTTTTTCTTTTTTACTTCTTAAGGGATTGATTGGTCTAATATTGAGTGCTTATACCAGTCATTTTGATGAATCATTTCATACCAAACAGACTAAAGAAGAAGTTTCAGGAACTCTGGAAGCTGTCCAGGCCATTCAGAGTATAACTCAGGCCCTCCAGAAGTCCAAGGAAAATTACAATGCCAAATGTGTAGAACAGGAACGTCTGAAAAAAGAGGGAGCTACACAAAAAGAAATAGAAAAGGTAATTACAGTAAAAGTACCACATTTGTAGTTTTCTATCTCTTTGATATACAGTATTGCATTTAATCTTTAGGTAATCAAGAGTGATCTTGTTTTAAAGATAATAACACTGCATCTTACAGTATTTGTAATTTATAAAAGTAAATCTTTTAAATATATTGTCTATGGTAAATAGCTAGCAAGCAGAAAACAGGAATGAATTTTTTTATTTTAATGACATATACGAGATATTTTTATTTACTTTATATTTTATTTATTTTTTCTGTATTTAGAACAGGGCCTACAGGGTCTCACTACATAAATCGTACTTGTAATGATTCTTCTGTTTTCAACCTCTCAAGTGCTGGGATTATATGCGCACACCACCATGCCCAGTCTCCATCGCTGTCTCAGCATGTCCTGCAGGTGGTGCTGGCCTGGCAGGCCAGGAATCGAACCCCAGCTGCTGTGTTCTGCCTAAGCAGGATCTTTAGTTCACTGAGCTATCAGGCCGGCGGCCCCAGACTTTATATATTTATATTTATTTTTATTTTTTTTTGTGTGTGTGGGATTGATTGGATATTAATCCCAGGGTCTTCTGCATGCTAGGCAAATGTTCTACCACTTAGCTATATTAGCCCTTGCAAGATTTTTGTATGGTAAGATAGTTGATGATATTGGTTGGTATAAGTTTTAATGAGGTAAAAATTTTTGAAGCAGTAGATATATATATAATATTTTGGCGGAAACCAGGGATTGAACTGAACTCAGGCCCTTGCACTTGCCAGGAAAGTGTTTATTCCACTGAGTCATCTCTCTGGCCCCAGTTCAGTATATTTGGAAATGTGTAGCTACTTGAATTTAAAATTCACATGTATGTTGTGGGTGATTGATTGCTAACTCTGAACACATTTATGTTACATTGTGATAAAGAACAGACATTTTTCCCTATCCACATTTTCATTGAAGGTAGTTGCTTTTTTCTCCTTTTAAAATAGTTACTAAAAATAGTTATTACATTTTTGCTGTAGTACAGTATATGTCATTTAGGACTTAGCCATAGGGAGTGATAATTTTGAAAACTTTCCACAGTATTTGAACAACTTGGCGAATAAAGAGAACCAAATTGTCTTGGTAGTATGGTAATGGTTCAGATTGTATGTACATGGGCAAAAACTAGGAAAGTCAACAATTAATGGAATTTGGAGTACTATATTTCCCTTAATGTTTGTATACTAAGCAGAATTGGGAAGGGAAGGAAAAGAAGAGGTGTAGTTTTCATGATTTGAAAACTCTTATGAATAAAATGTAAAAAGAGAAAACAGAATTAACAGAGTTCACAGAGAATATTATTTCTATGGTCTAGAAATCCCAAATGGCATGTAAAAATTTATCATGCAAGCTTATGTAAGTCCTAAGGTGGGCAGTAAAATTTGACTCTTGTGTTATATAAGGGAACAGCTCTTCCCCTTGGTTATTTTTATTTTTTATTTTTTATTTTTTCATTGTTGGTCTTTGATTTGGATTTTTTTGAGACTGGCCTGGAACTCATGACCTTCTACCTCAGCCTCCCAAGTACTAGGTTATAAATGTTTGTCAAGTGCTCTCTTTGAGAAGAGGTACAGAGAACCTGGCCCATTGCATAAAAGTACTGGTAGGGAAGAAAAGAAGGCTGTCAGACTGCTGGCTAGGTTAAAAGCTTCCTGGGAGGTTGGGGGATTAGAGAAACAAGGTATTAAATCCTAAGACAGAATCAAGGTAGGGAATCAGTAAGGCTATTTTGCCCATATCCATAGTATTCTTACAGAGAAGTAATTAAAAACTATCTTTCCCAGATTTAGATTAAATTGGGTCCTTGAGGGTCTGACAGGAGATAGCCTGAGAATTGCTGCATAGGAATAGAAAAGCATAAAGGGTAAAGCACAAACAACTCTCCACCCCACCCCCTATAGGAAGGCACAAACAACCACATCTAAGAGACCTAACCCTAAAACAGGCAGCCAATGAATTTAATAATTGGAATATGGGAAGAAGGTATTGCTTTTAAACATGATTGCGTTACTTAATAAAAGAACACACTGGAGGGGGGATGGGGAGATAGCTCAGCAGAATAAGCGCATAGGGTCCTGAGTTCAATCCCCAGTACTGCAAAAACAAACAAACAAACAAAAAAAAACCACATTGGGTGTGGTGGTACATGCCAATAATCCTGGGAGACTAAGGAAGAAGATAGTGAGACTTTGTTTCAAAAAACAAAACAGAAGAAAAGAACAGTGGTGGTGCATGTCTGTAATTCCAACATTTGGGAGATAGGCAGGATTGTGAATTTGAGGTCAACTAGGCTACATAGCAAGACCTTGTATTAAAAAGAAAGAAAAGAAAAAGAACAAATACTTTAGGGCTGAGAATATAGTCTAGTGGTACAGTCCTTGCCTAGTATATGCAAGATTCTAGGTTCAATTCCCAGTGTGCATGCACACACACACACACACACACACACACACAGAATAAACCAGTGCTTCAGCTTCCTGGAACATTAATAATGACTTCGCAACATGGACATGTTTGTTACTTCCAGGGCATTTGCTTTCTGTAGCTATACCCCAGGAATTTAGTTAGAAACCTGTTTTGATGTAATAATTTACGATTATATACTATGTACAGTATGTGTTTCTTAGTAATGTTTCTTGTTTGCAAAACACAGGTATTTTTAATTACATTCTAAAGTTCCCTCTGCATCCTTTTATGTGATACCTAGTTTTCTTTAAATTTGATTTTGACATTGTTAAAACAGCTTGTAAATCAACAGATTTCTTTTTAAAATTTTATTATTTGTAAGTGCTTTTAGGGTTAATTTTCCAGGATGCTTCTTGAAGGTGGTATGAAATTCCCATAAATTTTGGCATATTGGTTTTACATTTCAAAAGTGAGAGCTACTGTAAAAAAAAATTAGAATTTAAAGCACCTCATTTTCATCATGCTTCCAAATATGATAAATGAAAATTTATACTTTCCTGTTATCAAAGAGTATGCTCCAAGGCTGTTTACAACTTAAATTAAAGGTGATAATTTTGTGATTATGTCAGAGAAGTTTATATACTAAGGTAAATGTCTAGACCAAGATTCATGGTGAGAATAATGTAGAAAGAAAAAAATCACAAAAATGTGTTGGTGTAAAACTTTTAACTTTATATTTTTACTCCTCTTGATTTAAGAAAGATGAGTAGCAGAACTATTAAAACTTCTAAAGACTGAGTATAAGAAATAATGTGTCAGAAGATTTTCTCCATCTCTTACATTCCTATGTAATGTGATGTATAATGTTGTGAAATACTTTGTTTATATCCTAGAAATGCAGGTCTTTTAGATGTTTTTTTAGAAGGTCAGCTTTTATTTCTACTAGATTATGAAGTTCAAGCCAGGTGTGATGGTGCAGGCCTATAATCCTAGCACTCAGGAGGCTGAGGAAGGAGGGTCACTGTGATTTTGAGGCTAGCCTGAACTATATAGTGAGACCTTGTCTCAAAACAACAAAAACGGAGGCTGAGGAGATGGTTCAGTGGAATAAGCGCTTCCCTGGCAAGTGCAAGGGCCTGAGTTCAATCCCCTGTTCTGGAAAAGAAAAACAACAACAACTTATTAGTCAATGAGATGCCATTGTCCATAACACAGGATATGTGTATTTATTTGGGAAAAATCATTATAGAAAAATACTCAAATTTTTTTCAGCTTACTAATAAAAGTTAATTTAAGAGGTTATTTGACCTGTATACATTTAGAATAGGTTCTTGCCTTATAAGTGATTTATTTAGGTATTTTTCTGACTTACTGTTGAGTTATGAAAAGATAATTTATGTTTAATAGTAAGTACAATATTTTAGCTCTTGGCCTATTACTGTACTAGTTGCTCCAAATATTTTAAAAGGCTGAAATACATGTAATCCCCATCTGTTCAAGAAGTTTCCTTTCTTTTGGGAGCCAAGATATTAAGTAGTGTAGAACAAGAGGTTAGAAAGGATCATGAATGTAAGATGAGGAGGAAAGATATCTTACTTAATATGGAACCTGTAAAAAGGGAATGATTTCATGAAATGGATTACTTTTAAAAGCATAGACACAAATATTATAGTTCTTAACTTTTTATTCTGACTCCTTTCAAATCAGATGTGTCTCTCTAGGAGTGATCACAAGGGAATTCTTCATCAATAGGTGACATATGAAATGTTAAGAAATAATTTAATAGCAGTGAAAAATAATAGAATGAAGAGCACTCAAGGGACTACCTGTAAAACTATATTCCTTTTTAGGCTTATTGTTAAAAGTTACTCTTTGAAGGCCATGCATATGCCTGTAACTCTAGCACTTTGGAGGCTGAGGCAGGAGGATCACTATTTACATAATAAGTTCAGGGCCAGCCCAAACTACATACGAGATCTTGTCTCAATTTTTTTTTTTTTATTCTGTACACTGTGAGTTTTTGATTACTTTTATACAAACTGAAAATGTAAGTAGTTGGAAGAAACTACTTATATCTGATATCTCTTTGCATCAGGAAAATCCAAAAAGAAATCTATATACCATGACATTGTAATTGTTTCTAAAATAAATTCTAGCAAACAGTTATTTGAACTTCCTGGGCGGGTGCTTATTAGTAAACTCTAGGCATCTCATTTAATTGTGTTTGAACAGGGCTAGGATATTAGAGAAAGTATAGTAACAGTGGTATAAAATAATATCAAATGGCCAGTGAGAAAATAATGATAATAATTAAGAAGAAATATATAGAAGCAAAGGAGAAAATTGTTATAGATTTTAGTCCTTTCTCTAGGGATGGGTAATTCAGTGAAAATCAGTAACTTCCGTATCTTTATATAACAACAAAGTTTAATGATGTATTTTCTTGGTATTCCTTGTTGGAAACTGTAAAAATAGATGATACTGTTTGGTTTGTACTGTTTGGTTTGTAAATTTAACTATATGCCAGATGGTGTTCTAAAGATTTTGTCTAAGGATTTCATCAATACTGCAGCTTTAAAAACTAGTGTTCCCAATTTTGTTTTATTACTTTTTTTGTATTTTAGGGAAGGGTCTACAGGGTGTTTAGGGTCTCACTACTAGATTGGACTCATAGTGATTCTCCTGTTTGCAGCCTCCCAAGAGCTGGGATTACACATGGTGCCACCACGCCCAATCTCAATTGCCATCTCAGCATGCTCCAGGGGTGAGGTTGGCATGGCAGGCCTGGGGATCGAACCCCCAGCCTGCTTGCAAATGCTTTACTCTGCTGAGCTATTTGGCCAGCCCATAGTGTTCCCAGTTTTTTTAAAAAAATTTTATTGATAGAAGTGCTGTGAAATGTTTGCAGAAATGCTTGCAGTCCTTGATTATGTTCATTGTGAGGAGTTGGTATATGTATGTAGGGCATCTTAATTCTTTTTAATTCTCTTTCCCCTCTCTTCCTAATTTGAGGAATGACAAGACATTGTAAAGCTCAGATACGTTGTCAGATGGGTAGGTAATAAATGATGGAAGTGAAATTTCAATTCAGTACTCTTGGGTGCAAAACTAGTTTTATTTATTCTTCATGGTAAAATTCTGGATTTTTTAAATTTTATTTTTTGCTTTTTGAGTCAGGGTTTCATTTTGCATTTCAGGCTGGCCTTGAACTCTTTGTAACCCAAGGTAGCCTCAAACTCACAGCAGTCTTCTTGCCTCAGACGTGTGCTACCATGCCTACTGGCCTTCTGTATTCTTTTTTTTTTAATTAATTTATTTTATTTGTGTGTGTGTGTGTGTGTGTGTGTGTGTGGCCAGCTCAGCCCACCAGGGGGTGGGGCTGGCTGGCATGTGCTGGGGGATTGAACCGCGGTCCCTGTGCTTTGCTAAGCTTGTTCTAAGTAGGTGCTTTAGACCACTGAGCCATCTCACCAGCCCCCTTCTGTATTCTTTAACAAGATAGAAAAGCATATATATATGCTTACATATTTTAGAGAAGTTACAAAGTTGCTTATTTAGACAGTTGGACTATCAATACAATTGCCAATCTCAAACCTCAGGGTAAATCCCATGTTGTGCTTCTAGTTCTAGTGCTAAGGCTGATTCCTTTTCACAGGTGGAGGTAATTACATGTTAGTACTCATCAACTGTAAACTAATTTCTTAGTTTACAGCTTTACTTGGCTTAATAATACTTTTTTCCTTAGCAGTATTTTTAATCACCCTGTCATATTACCCCTTATGTCTTCCGCATCACATTATAAAACCTTTTTTATTCTTATTAAGGTCCAAAGCCTACTTTCCTATTTCTCTCTTAGCAGATGGTCTGTTACCTCATCAGGAAAATGGAAATCTTCACATCTAGAAATTCTTCAGCTGCTCTGTCTTTAAACTTTTGGAATAAATTCTTGTTTATTTTAATCCCCCTACCTCCACAATCTTCCTATGTCCTAGCTAAAGTAGTCCTTTGAGACCATAGCGTTTCTTGAGAGCCACGGGGTGTCCCTTCCTACTACCTATACATCCTTTTCTTCGAGCATATCTATCTTCCCCAGAATTTATCTTGACTTCTTTTATTGCTTTCTACCAATTTCTGGCTGTTTATGTATAGGTGGTTGTTCTTTTATGAGAACAACATTTCCTTAATGGAAAATCCTCTGTAATTTTCCTTCATGTTCCTCATATCCCTGTATTTAATATACTACTGAATTTTTATTGAGCAAGTCACTTTGATAAAACTAGAGCTGTAATATCTCAATAAGAATTTTAAAAATTGTTTTGCGTAAGAAATAGGCAAAGATTGATTAAAAACATTTCATAGAACTTTGGAACATAATGGAACCTGGAAAACACTAAACACTAACTTTTGAGCTAGCTAGATGGATTTTTTTTTTTTTTTTAAATGTATACAGGTTCCCGCTATAGAGATTTGACTCATAGTGATCCTCCTGTTTTCAGTCTCCAGGCATTGGGATTACAGGCATGTGCCACCATGCCCAGTCTTAATGGCTGTCTCAGTGTGCCCTGGGGGCTAGAGGCTGGGGGCTGGGCCACCACAGCCTGCTGAGGGTCTCTGTAAGCAGGCACTTTAGTCCACTGAGCTATCTGAGTGATCCTAGATATATGGATTTTAATTGGATAATAAATGGAGTATGTATATGTTTAAAGTAGGGGAAGAAGGAAGATTCATCAGTATAGTGTCAAACATGTTCTTACAACATCGTCATATTTTTATACATTGTATTTTTCAGTGTGTTAACATATTTTTAGTAGCATTGTGCCATTATGTAGTTATATAATCTTACTGTGGGTAATAAAAATGAGAGTATTTTCATTTCTGAGAGTATATTTCATGAGACAGAAGAGTCAGCAGTATTGAATTTCTGTGTTATCATTTGACGATAACAACAACTGACTAAGGCAGGCTTGATTGTCACAGGTATTAAAGTTAGTTGTGTGTCATATTGAGCTCTTTAAATATATTTTGTTTTATATTATATAGGGAAAAAAGCTTAATGTGTAGTAAAAATGTTTTTGTTCTTTTACAGGCAGCCGTTAAATCTAAGAAAGCTACAGATACTTATAAACTGTATGTGGAAAAATATGCATTAGCAAAAGCTGATTTTGAACAGAAAATGACAGAAACAGCTCAGGTTGGTATTTTTTTTTTTTTTTTTTTAATGTATTTGGTACAGTATCTCACTGTGTAGCTTGGACTCGTAGTGATCTTCCTGGTTTCAGCTCCCCTAGTGCTGGGATTACAGGTATGAGGCACCATGCCCAGTGGTGGCTCAGCACACCCAGGGGTGGGACCGGCACGGCATGTGGTGCTGGGGATTGAACCCTGGTCCCTGCGCTTGCCTAAGCAGGTGCTTAGTCTACTGAGTTACCTTCCTGGCCCTTCAGGTTGGTATTTTTAAGGCTGTAAATTGGTAACAGGACACTTAATACATTTGCACACATACTAATTAAATAGTATAATTTTTCTCTTATATGACTTTTTAGTATTAGAAATTTTAAGACACAATTTTGGCATTCTAATAATGCTATTTAAAAATTTGCATTTTGTTTGTGGGATTGAAGACCAAGATTCAGTAATGATAACTTATCATAAGGAATTATTCAGGTAGATCAAAAGAGAATGTTGAATTGCCAGTCAAGTGGAAGACCCAATACTATTAATGACTACTGGACTCTTCTAGAATATTTTGCTGAGTTAACACACCTATAATATTCAGATGACGGAACTAAACAAAAAAAGGGGATACAGATGAATGTTCATTTTGTATCTGTGTATTCAAAATGGTTAGGATACATATATAGGTATATTCTTTTAATGAATAGAGGGATTTGTTCTAATAGTGTTTGTCAATAGGATATCAAGTCTGCATCTTGTATAGCAAATAACCACTAGGAAGATAGTATGCAATGTGTTAATTATTGAAACTGTCCTATCAATTTGATTTGAAACTGTCTCATTGCTATTTGTTTCTCAATAAAATTACGGAAAAAAAAATGTTGAAAGATAGGTGAGGAAAATGAAGGCATTGGTAGATGGTTAATACTGTGCTGTTAGACTTGTGTGTTGATTTTAAAATTATTTTTGCTTGAGAAGAAAACTAGGAATGACTATGTTGAATCTATACTAGTAAGTAAAATAATGTGAAAATCCTCTTCTCATAGAATTTTACATATTACTAGGGGGAAGGTAAATAATAAAAAAAAGTTTTCCGTACACTTAGAATAAATTATATCTAATTTGGGGTTCTTAGAGCTCTAGTTGAAGACTGAGTTTGAAGTGGGTGCCTTCTATGAATGCTGCCTAACATTTCTGTAGCCATCTTTCTTACCCTCTTTTTGTTTTATTTTCTTTTGTACCTATCATTATCTAAGATACCAGTAATTTCATTTTTTTGTGTTAGGGCAGATTGGGTGTGCTAAGTTGACAAGTACCCCAAAAATGTCAGTAGCTTAAAATATTAAAGGTTTGTTTCTCAATGTTGTATTCATTAAGGTGGAGTGCAGCTATAGTGTTGAGCTTAGTAGTTAGAATCTCTTCTTGTCTAAGGGGCTATAAACAGAAGCTCAGGGGCTTTTCTACACACATTATTGCCTCTCACACTCCACCGGGATATATGTTCTGTAAGAGCAGGAATTGATTTGTTTACTGTCATAGCCTCAGTTTTTTGTTTTGTTTTGTTGTTTTTTCCTCTGAATGCCTTCAGGACAGGTTTGGCTGGCTTGAGTTGTAGGGATCCAACCACAGCAACCTGAGCCTGACTGCCTTTTTTTTTTTTTTTTTAATATTTTATTTATTTTGTGTGTGTGTGTGGCCAGTTCAGCCCACCAGGGGGTGGGGGTGGGGCTGGCTGGCATGTGGTGCTGGGGGATTGAACCGCAGTCCCTGCGCTTTGCTTAGCTTAGCTTGTTCTAAGTAGGTGCTTTAGACCACTGAGCCATCTCACCAGCCCCCTGACTGCTTTGTGGAAGCAGCCACTTAAAGAATTGAGCTAAGGGGCAGGCACTACCACCCCCCCTTAGCCTCAGTTTTAAAGATAGTTTTCAGCTTTCGTGGGCATTCAGTATTGATGAAAGAAGAACTTACAAAGCTGATATTTTAAATTTAATTCTTCTGTCTTCTCATTTGAAGAAGTGAATGATCCACATCTCAGAAACCAACAGGCTTGCAGGCATCTGTATGTGCAGGCAGGCATCCATCTGTACTTGCATATTGTGGGCACTGTGCTAGATACATACAGCATATATGTTAAGTAACACAAATACCTCCTTGCTCTAGAGACAATTTTAAGTACTGATGTATACATTGAATACTTCTTAAACATAAACATAGAAAATGCTAAAAGTATTCTGAAGAAAAAGACTACTTCCATAAGATGGGTGACCTAACTTGTTAGGGAGTCAGGAAAGACGTTTTTGGAAGAGACATTTAAAACTGAAACTTGAATACTGGGTAGGAGACCAAGAACAGGAATGTTTCAAATATTGGGACCATGGATATGATGGCCCATGTGAGTAAGGAGACATTGCACTGTAGCAAGTGAAGAGCACATACTAAAACAGAATTACGGGGAGATGGTGGGGAGAAATGAGAAATGGCAGTGGTTGAAGAGATAGGCAAGAAATAGGTTTCAGTGGGGATTTAGGTTTGTGTGTGTGTGTGTGTGTGTGTGTGTGTGTGTGTGTGTGTGTAATCTCTGCCTCCTTATCCCATTTTACTTTTTTTTTATGGAACCGGGGATTGAACTCAGGCCCTTGTGCTTGCAAGGAAAGCACTTATTCCACTGAGTCATCTCCCTGACCCCTCATTTTACTTTTGAGTCAGAGTCTCATTAAATTGTCCAGGCTATATAGGAAGTAAAGCCATGCTGTTATGTTGAGCTGTGGGGGACTCAGGTCAATAATTTCTGACATTGCCAGTTAAACAGAAGACCCAATGCTATTATGGCCTACTGGACTCTTTTAGAATATTTTGCTGAGTTTACACACCTATAATATTCAATAACGGAACTTAAAAAAAATGGGGTATAAAGATGAACGTCCATTTTGTATCTGTGTATTCAAAGTGGTTAGGATAGATATATAGTTGCATTCTCTTAATGAATAGAATGATTTTTTCTAATGGTGTTTGTAAATAGGATCACAAGTCTGCATCTTGTACAGCAATTAACCACTAAGAAGAATATATGCAATGTATTATTTGTTGAAACTGTACTTTTGATTTGATTTGAAACTGTCTCATTGCTATTTATCAATAAAATTATAGTCCTTTTAAATTTTTAACATGTTTCAAAAATAAATAATAAATGTTATTCTGATATATTTCTACATTGTGAAATATAATATAGAGTGATGAATGATGAAAGAAGAAATAAAATGACATTATCTCTGAAAAAAAAAAAAAAGAAAATTAAAACTGCAATATGGATGTACTATAAGAGTTTCTGGGCCACAAGGGCCTGAGTTCAATCCCCGGTTCTGCAAAAAAAAAAAAAAAAAAAAAAAAAAAAATTGTCCAGGCTGCCCCTCAACCTGTGATCCTTTTGCCTCAGCCTCCTCATGTAGCTACAGGATTACAAGCATTTGCCACTACGCCTAGCTTCTGTAAATGTATTATTCATTTATGTGGTATTCTCTTACTCACAATTCTGAATCCTCAAAGCTCTGAAAACTGAAAGGTTTTTTCCCCTGTAACTCATTAGGTAATAGAACTTTGACCTGAACTGATGTGAAGCTGCTTATAGTATTTATCTTGCTTAGAGTGAATATGCAGACATTTTCCTTTAGAAATATTAATGTTTGTCAAATCTGTTTAATCATACAGATGCTGGGCTGGGAGATATAGCTCAGTGACATATGTACCTGCCTGGTGAACACAAGATCCTGAGTTCAATCCTTGATATTCCCCCCAAAAAACCCAAAAGACAAGTGCTGTTGGAGTTTTTGATGGTAGCATTATAAAATGTATACTTTTAAAATAAGGTGCATCATTATTTTAAACACTGAAAAAAAATTTTATTCAGAAGCACATCTAGTCTTAAAAGATTTTGATTAAAGGATTAGGAGACTATTAAAATAGTATTGTCTTAGTTGATTTCCTCATCAGTAGGATAAAGTACCTGACAACCAAACCTTAAAAAAGAAGACTTAACCTCCAGTTTTTTTCCTAAATCCCTGCCTCTGAGCACATGATGCTTGGGAGGACATCTGTGTATAGGTTATAACAGGTGTTGTCAGTGCATAAAGCCATGATGACTTTGCCTTTGGTTAGTGTGTGCCAGAGAAAGGACTTTAGGACCTTTAGTGACAGAAATGGAAATAGAAGCCAAAGAGAAAAACTGGCGAGTGTCATATGTCTTGGCAGCTATGAAAAGAAAGGGTTAATGTCAGATAAGGCTCCAATTCTACGAGATAGAAAGTTTAAATTCATGTAGCAAATGAGAGCATTGTAAATTTCAACAGTACTGTTGTTTTTTTAAATCCTTAGGAACACTCATTGATTTATTTTTGAAAAATACAGCTTTATTGAACTAAAATTTATATGCCATACAATCTACAAACTTTACGTTAAGATTCAGTAGATTGTAACACATTGACAGTTATACAGCTATGACCACAATCAAATTTAGATCATTTTTGTTACCTGAAAACAAAATACTTTACCTACTCTCTGTTGTCTCCCAGCCCCTCGCCTCCAAATGTGGGCAACCACTGAGCTACTCCCTATCTTCTAGATTTTTCTATGAAGGAACACTCATTTATAAGGCAGTTATTGTCACATTTCTACTGATGAAAGTGCTCGCCTTGTATTTAAGTTAGAAAAATAAAAATTAGAATTTTCTGCAATCAAGGCTTCTTTTCTGTGGATGTTACTTTTAAAAAACTTTTCAACAAGCATCTTTTTGTCTTTTTTTTTTTTTTTTCCCAAAATGGTACTTTACTTTTTTATTCCACCATATGCAAGATCAAAATACTAATTTATTTGAGTAGATGTAGGACTTTTGAAAGATGGTGCTGTACCTTGCTAATGTGTTACTTTTTTCTTAGTTTTGTGATTGTCTCTGTATCTGTACACACACACACACACACACACACACACACACACCCCTTTGCAGCAGGAACCATGTTTTAAAACCGAGTAGGCTTTAATTTGGGTTATATAGACATCTAAATAATTCTTTCACTTCTCCGCTTTTATTTTATTCTGGGTCATACATACCGACCCTTATCACAGTGGGAAAGAACCTGACAGTATAGTGAGGATCAAATTTGGGTGACAGGATCTGTATTTACTAGTGAGAAAGAAACTGAGTCCCTGGGGTGAGAGAAGTTAGGATTTATTAGGGTATGCATGAGTTTAAATTTTTCATTTTGAGTTGAAAATAAGGACAACTGAAGTTGTAGCTGCTCTTTATGCTCATGCTTTTCACCACTATTAGTTGATGGTATGCTTGAAAAAATTTGAAGCATTACATGGGAGTTGGCCCCTTCCTGGCAGCATTGAGATTTACTAAGCAACACTCTCAGATAAGGAGTTTTAGAATTACTTTTATATGTCTTTAGTGGGTCATAGAATTTTTTTTTTTAGAATAGTCTATGTGAACATAGTGAGTTTAAAACTGCAAGGGGGAAAACAACCTGATTTCCTTACTGGAAGTTCATATATATTTAAACATTTGAGATACTACTTACTCCTTATTTCTTACTGCTGAATTACTGCATTTAGTAGTTGCTAGTTTTGAAGAGTTATGATGGTAGTGCTCTCCTCTCCAAGAAAACCCCTCACAGTTTCAAAATTGTGTCTGAATTATGCTTTGAATTCTATACAGATTCATGCTTTAGGATATTTTTAAATAAGAAATTACCTTTTTGGTGTAATTGTTTTAAGAGAAAATAGTTTCCTAGGAGGTAATAATGATCATCCATATTCAATTAATAGGATTATGACCCAGTTTTATTGTATTCAGTTATACCTGACCTATTGCAATATTTTGTTCATTAAGTTTTTGAAATTGTTTGAGGATCATTTCTTATAATGTGAATTTATATGAATCAGCCTATTGAATATTCTTCAATTTTGAATATTCTTCAGTTCTTCAGAATAAGTCCAGATCTTTTTTTTTTTTTTTTTTTGAGCGGAACCGGGGATTGAACTAAGGCCCTTGTGCTTGCCAGGGAAGCACTTATTCCACTGAGCCATCTTCCCGGCCCCAAGTCCAGATCTTTTTTTTTTGTTTTTTTTTTTTTACCTTTAGATATACCTTTATTTATTTTTTTTCAAAGTTTTATTGATAAACAGATAGCAATGAGACAGTTTCAAATCAAATCGGAAGTACAGTTTCAACAAATAATACACTGCATGTATTCTTCTTAGTGGTTAATTGCTGTACAAGATGCAGACTTGTGATCCCAAGTCCAGATCCTAATACACTGATACCCTCTTTGGCGTGGTTAAAAATTTAATCACAGACAACCTACTCTGTTTTAACTCTGAAGAAAATTAATTTTAAGTTTTTGGATTATTCTTACATTACTTCCCAAACTGTAATTTTGTCATTACTGATTTTTAAGGAGTTCATACCACTTACACCGTATAGATATTATTTAGTTTAGTGATTGTTGTTTGTGTAACTCAGTGCTAAAGAAATGTGGACATGAAATATGAAGTGAGGGAAATTAATTTGGTAAAATAACTGGGAAAAATAAGGGAAGTAGGTAGATTCTTTAGAAGTTATTTACTTTGGCAAAAAGAAGGATAATCACATTTGTGCAGTAGAAATGACAAATGTATTTTGTTTTAATCTGGGTAGCTCAGCATTTCCAGATCCTGTTTTGAGGATCCTGTATTGTTCTTTGAGATATTAATATTTAGGGGAAAGAAAAACAAAGGATTGTGAGGTCAGAGAAATTGAGAAAATGCTGGGCAAAACATGTTTCGTTATTTCATTATATCTGTTCTTGATAGGTTTATTGTGAAGCCAAGGCTAGCAGTGGTTCTCTGTCTAGGAAACAAATATTAGAGTAACTTGAATTTTTTTTTTTTTTTTTTTTTTTTTTGGGTACAGGATCTCACTACTCAGTGTGGACTTGTGGTGATTCTCCTGTCTTACCTCCCCCCCCCCCCATGGGTTATAGGCGTGTGCCACCATGCCCAGTTTCTGGGGTCAGCTTGGCATGGGGCCAGCACAGCATGTAGTACCTGGGATTGAACCCGAGTCTTTGCACATGCCAGGCAGGCATTTTGACTGCTGAGCTATATCTCCCCAGCCTGGAATTTTTGAAACAACATTCAACTGCTATTTCCTGTACAGTACTACAAGATTTATTCAAACTTTTTTTTTTCTTTTTTAGGGAAGGGCCTACAGGGTGCTCAGAGTCTCACTACTAGGTCTGACTTGTAGTAATCCGTCCGTTTACAGCCTCCCAAAAGCTGGGATTACAGGTGTGCATCACCATGCCCAGTCTCAATTGCTGTCTCAGTGTACCCCAGGGGCGGGGTGATTCAAATATTTTGAAACATTCCCTAGTAATCTGATGTGTCCTTACTTTCCATTAAGACTACAGAGATAGCATGCACAGGCTCCCCCAAATTTCTTTGAAGATAGATTACCTCTTATGGATATTTTATGAACATTTCAAGGTTCAAAACTCATTTTAGAATGTTTGGCAGATTAAAAAGTTTTCAGAAGGCAATTATTTGAAAAGTTTTAGAAATTGTTCTGTGGCTTTGGGACTACTTTTCTCATCTGGATTGTCTTCACTTTTCTTTAGTCATGATTATTTAATTTGTATCTTAAAATTCTAAAGAAGTTTAAAGTTCCTTGGCAAATGTCAAAGAAATGCTATAATAACTTTTCTCAGTGCTGTTTTTTTTTTTTGTATTTGGTACAGGGTCTACAGGGTCTCACTACATAGATCAGACTCTGAGTGATTCTCCTGTTTTCAGCTTCCAAACCTCTGGGATTACAGGCATGAGCCACCACACCTAGTCTCAATCATTGTCTCAGTGTGCCCCAGGGGATCAAACCCTGGCCACTGCGCTCTCCCTACACAGGCACTTTAGTCTGCTGAGCTGGCTGGTTGGCCCTGCTATATTTTAGTATATTTGCTACACCTATTTATTTAAAGACATTGTTAAATCTTATAGTAACTAATTTAATTTGGTTATCTATATTGAAGTATTCTCTAAAACTTTTTGGTTACAGAATGTATATTTGTATTTATATATAGTGAATATTTAACTATCTATTTGCTACCCAGAAATTTCAAGATATTGAAGAAACTCATCTCATTCATGTAAAGGAAATTATAGGATCCTTGTCAAATGCAGTGAAGGAAATTCATTTGCAGATAGGCCAGGTAAGTTTTATACTTTACAGTGAATTTATTCATGGAAAAATGTTTCTTATGACTTTTTGTAAGTTTTTAATCATTCGTGTCTGAAACCCATAGAGATGATTCTGAATTGTGTCATCTAAAGAATGTGTATTTATATGTATTTTTTTTTGTTTGAGCACCAAGCATGAAAATTTAAGTTGCTTTTTTATTTTTTATTTTATTATTATTTCTTTTTTGGGGAACCGGGGATTGAACTAAGGCCCTTGCGCTTGCCAGGGAAGCGCTTAGTCTACTGAGCCATCTCCCCGGCCCTTACATTAAAATTTTGAATGACCAGTTTTTTAATATTTCTTTTTTCAGGTTTTGTTTTTAAGTTTATGGCAGCAACCTTAATAAGAGAACTTAACTTTTGAAATCTACTAGAAACTTAAAAGAAGTTTATGATAGTTTGTGGTGTATTGAAGTTCAGTACAGAAGGATGAAATCTAGATTAGAAATCTAAGACTATTTTCATTGTCTTTATAAGTTTTAATTACTGTAAGAATTTTGTTTCTAAAACACTTAAGACATGAGATCAGTAAACTGTCTTTATGTCAAAGGCTGTGAGGCCATGTCTTAAGGGATGAAGGTAAGCAGTGGTTATTCCCCACAGACGTCTTAACACTGTTAGGTAATAGTGTGTTAACAAGTGTAAATGAAATCTCCCAAATACCCTTACATCCAAAAGTTTTAATTGCTTTTATTTGAAGTGGACTAAAAATATTTGTGGAAGATGTTATCTTTATTTTGGTTTAATAGGTACATGAAGAATTTATAAATAACATGGCTAATACTACAGTTGAAAGTTTGATACAGAAATTTGCTGAGTCAAAGGGCACTGGAAAGGAAAGACCTGGTAAGGTGATAAATTGCAAGAAGACATTTTCAAATTTCCTATCTAATAACAAATATTTGCCTTTAAATTCAAGTCTGTAAGGGGTAGTTTTAACTTTGTGTCACGTACCTGAACCAAGTAACTTATGGCCAGAGATACTGTGCATTTAAAAAATGTATTTATACTTCAGAGCAGTGTCTGTTTCAATTGTCCACTTTTTGATGGGGAGTTTCGTGGGAGGGCTCTTTTTTCTGTTTGTTTGTTTTTAGTATTTTATGTATTCTATAAATTAGTTTTCTGTCCAAGGAGAAGCTGACAGAAGATTTTTCCCATTCTATAGGTTGTCTCTTCACTCTGTTGTTTGCTTTGGTGTGCAGAAGCCTTTTAATTTGATATAGTCCCATTTGTTGAGTTTCAGTGTTACTTCTTACACATTTGAGATGCTGTTCCAAAAGTTTACTAATGTTTATGTTGTCCAGAGTTTTATCTATTTTATCTTATAGCATATTTTTTTCTATTTTAATATCCATATTCTGGTTTCTTTTCAGATTGTATAAATCTTTCGCCTTCTATTTTAATATCTAGGTCTTTGATCCATTTTGACTTTATTATATGCCGATAGATGTGGGCCTAGATTCAATCTTCTGCATATATGTAAACAGTTTTCTCAGTACCATTTGTTAAAAAGTCTGACTTTCCCCCAGCATATGATTTTGACCTCTTTGTCACAAATAAGATGACTAAAACTGCTTGGACTAGTTTCTGCGTCCTCAGTTCTGTTTCATCGATGCATGTCTCTGTGCCAGCATCATGTTGTTTTCTATCTGTTTTTTTTTTTTTTTTTCAGTGTTTGAGACAGGGTCTCACTAAATTGCCCAGGCTGGGCTCAGACTTGTCATCTTCCTCCTCAAACTTGCAATTCTCCTGTTACAGCCTCTCAGAGTGCTGGGATTATTATAGGCATATGCTGCACACTGACTAGAAAGATACTGAATTTATCAAAACATGCCACAAGTTTTCTTTAAGATAGACTTACAGGTTAAAGTTTTGTCAATTATCAGAAATTTTGCTAGCTCATTATACAAGGATTGCTGAACCATTTTATTCATTTTGTTCTGCCTGCCTACTTCCTTATACATTCTCTATGAAAAAAACCTAACACATTACCCAGATAGCTTGCAAATTCTCTTCCTTGGGTTAGGCTTTTAAAGTAGCTACATAGCAGAAATAGCTCTTAAGCTCACTGCTTGATTCCTTTTTTTTTTTTTTTTTTTAAACATTTATTGTGTGTGTGTGTGTGTGTGTGTGTGTGGCCAGCTCAGCCCACCAGGGGGCGCAGCTGGCTGGCATGTGGTGCTGGGGGATCGAACTGCGGTCCCTGTGCTTTGCCAAGCTTGTTCCAAGTAGGTGCTTTAGACCACTGAGCCATCTTTCCAGCCCATGATTCCTTTTTTCTAGATATATGGGTTGTATGTGTTTTGTTCCTTGTACAGTAAAATAATTGTGTAATTTGTAGTAGTGATCTCTTTAAGTCTCTGTTCCCTCTGAGACTCACATTTGTAAAGTGGGCATAATAGTAGTGCCTGCATCGTGGGCTTGTTGTGAGGGTTATATGAGCTACTGGGACATTAGTAAATATTTAGTAACTATTATTTTTAGGAGCCACTACATTTCCTGATTAATAGGTATACTAGGACATGAAGAAAATACCTACTGTTTAAATGGTAGGAGGTAAGAGGTAGACCAAGAATGGTGATGACATGTGCTTTCTTGTTCATTAAAACTGAACTATGTGGAGCCGGAGAGATGGCTCAGTGCAATAAGCGCTTCCCTGGCAAGCGCAAGGGTCTGAGTTCAATCCCCAGTTCTGCAAAAAACAAAACAAAACAAAACAAACCTGAACTATGTGACTTGGATTGATATTGTGACTGGTTTCAAAAAATGATCCTAAAGCTAATTTTTGAGTAAAAGGGATTTGTGTGGAATAAGTAGAATTGATGGATTTTATTTATCTGATGAAGTTGAAGAGAAGGTACACAGAATTTTATGTGTGGTCATACTGAATTCTAAGATATATTCTAAATTTGATTTTTATTAACATTTTATTCTTGTTTTGTAAGGGCCCCCTCTGGTGGATGAGTTCCTACCTAAACTAGTTTTAATTCTGTATGACACAGTTTTTTACAAGAAAACGGTAGACCCAGCCAGTTCTTTTTTGAAATCTGTATACTTGAAAGTTAATTCATGTCTGTGGTGCTGAAAAATAACTGTATTTGACATGTGTACCACAGGTCCATAATTCATGTCTTGCAGCTGACCCGTTTGAACCACTGGTTAGTATATGCATAACTGTTCTGTCTAGTGGCTTTTTATTAATTTTATTGGTAAAAAGAACACTAAAAGTGATTATATCTGATTGTACCACTAGGGGTACAAGCCACTCAATGGGACATCACGCATGATCACTTGTGGTTCAAGGTGGCAGAAATGTGTTAACCTTTAGTCGTTATCCATGGCAAGATAAGACCTGTCACTTCTTTTTTTTTGTTTTTGCAGTTTCTGTATGTAAGTTAAATCCACTGTACTAAAATTCCCCCTATTCAGTGAGTTCTAATAATTATATGGAGTCCACCAAAAAAAAAAAAAGGTACACAGATTTCAGGAAAAGAAAAATAATTTTTTTTTTAAGCAGTTGTCTACCACTTTGAGCACCTCTTGAATTAATCTCATGATGGCTCAGTAAATTTAGTATCAAAATATTATACAAAATTTTTTCCTGTGAGATATATATATGTATGTTTTAATTTATTTATTGGCAGACTCTGTATGTTGCAGTGTCTTGTTATTGCATTGTTCCTCTGGAATTTGAGTCACTGTAAGTGGATGTTTTGAGTGGCCTGAAATCATGAAGAAACAGATGTTTTCTAATTTTAAATATCCTTTTATAGTCTAGTAATAGTACCCTGGTAGTCTTAGGTTAGTTGTATATTTCATTTGCTAAAAGAGATTAAGATTCATATTTTTAGTGTTTCCTATCTTAGTCATTTTGCTTTTTATACAGTTTTTTAAAAAGTTCAGCAAATTTCCACTCACAAGAAACAAAATAAAGAAAATAAAAATTAGTGATCTAGTCTGCAATATGTTTAATAAAACTAGTTGTTGTAAAGGTGGTCTATATTTTCATTATATGACATTGACAGGTTTTTTAGCTTCCATTTTAGAGTTTCTGAGAACTTTAGAGATACAGATCTTTAAAATTGGTGCAGACTGTTTGTATCAGCAGCAGCCTTAGACAGCTGGACATTAAAATAACCTAAAACAGGAGTAGAAAAGTAAGATATTTTTCTTTCATTCTGAGAATAGTTTCTTTTCTTTTTTTTTTTGCGGAACCGGGGATTGAACTCGAGCCCTTGCGCTTGCCAGGGAAGCTCTTATTCTACTGAGCCGTCTCCCTGGCCCTTTTTCTTTCATTCTGTCTCTACTTTTCCTTTATTTTCTTTGCAAAATGACTTTTTTTTTTTTTAAACTTCTATAGGCATATGATTTCGTGATCTCCAAATAATTTTAGGTTTTTAAACTTCTTAATTTAGCCACAATTAGAACTTATTCAAAGATTTTGTCCCTTTCCTATTTTCTTGAAGCAAGAATGCTGTATGGTTGGTTCAGGATGGGTCAGGCAATCTTTTAGTTTTGGTAATAGCCATGTTCTAGCCACACCCCAGTCTTTTTTAAAAATTTTGAGACAGGGTCTCACTTGCCCAGCCTAGTCTTCATTTGAGGAGGCAGGATCCTCAGAGGAAAGAGATTATCTCGAACTCCACATAGTCACCCAAGTATCTCCTGAAGTTTTCATCCCTTTGAGAGAGACAAGATTTCTGGAGGTGGAAATAGGGGTAGGGTAAGAATGTCATTTCATTAATGATTAATGATACTGAATATAACTTCTCAGATATTTTCTGATTGTATGATTTGAAATGTTTTCTTGAGTTCTTCATCTTTTTTTTCCTTAAAGTTGTGATAGGGTCTCATCATATTACCTAGATTAGTCTCAAACTCCTGGGCTCAAGGGACCCTTCCTTTAGAATAGCTGGAACTATTCTAAAGAAATAGTGGCACTATGTGCCATTATGCCCAGCTTGCCCTTTTAAAAACTGGATTCTTTGTTTGTTATTCTGTTCTGTTTGTTATTGAGTTCCAAGAGTTTACTCAGATACTAGATTCTCATCAGATAAATTATTTTGAAAATATTTTCTTCTATGATGTGGGTTTTCTTTCTTGAACTGTTCTTTGATGCACAGATTTTTTGTTGTTGTAGTTTTGATCAGGTTCAGTTTTATCTTTTTTCTTTTGTTGCATGTACATTTGCTTTCATATCAAAGAAATAATTGCCAACTTGAAGGTTATGAAAATTTACCCTTTTCCTTTATTTATTTATTTATTTATTTTTGTGTGTGTGTGTGGCCAGCTCAGCCCACCAGGGGACGGGGCTGGCATGTGGTGCTGGGGGATTGAACCGCGGTCCCTGTGCTTTGCTTAGCTTAGCTTGTTCTAAGTAGGTGCTTTAGACCACTGAGCCATCTCACCA